AATATTTAAAAAAAAGTGTTTTCTAAAAATAAAAAAATAAATTATTAGTTATACAACTAATCATTTTTTTTTTTTATATATGTATAATTTGTACATAAATAATAACCATTGATTTTAAAATTTAAAATGGTTAATATTATTTTATAAAACATGTTTATATTTTATTTAAACAAAACTAAACATAGATAATTTCTTAATATATTGATTATTATGCAATAGTATTAAAACATTACATTTTTTTGAGATAACTAATAATTTCATAGTAAAATAAATCAACTAAAAAATGATTAAGAAAGTTACTGTATTTAATGAGAATATTAACTTTTATTCAGTAAGTACTAAATTGAAACATAAATAATAAAAGTAAGTAAGAATATTAATATTTTACTTATAAGTAAGGTTTGGGACTAATTGCACAAAAAAATTACTAAAATATAGTTAAACATATGCAATTAAATTGTTTTTATTTTAAAAACAAATACAAAATGTGTATAAAATTATAAAAAATATTAATTTTAAAAATATCTTAAGTACTTGTTTATGTGTTGACTTATGTGAATATTATTTGATTTTTAAAACATTTTAATAGTAATGATAGCCATGATAAATAAACATCAAATACGTACTGTTTTTTGATTTTGTCAAAATTTTATTGAGTTCTTAATGATAATTTTGTTCAATAAAATAAATAACAATAATCATAATATGTAGATACCATAACCTCCAATTACTGATGGAGGATAAAGATAATCTTATAATTTTATGTAAATATATTTTAGACATTTTTTTCAAATGTTATATTAAAACAATTTCAGTCAACAAAATGTTAATAATATAATAATAATAAAATTGAAAAATACACTAATATGCTATAAAATGTTTTTGTGTGGAATTTGATGAAACATGCTCCGAATTGCAGGACTTATAAATATTAAAGTTAAGAATCAAAATGAAATGAACTTAAATTTTCACTTTTAATACATAAAATGTATAACATAGTGTAAGTAGTCATCTTATTATTAATATAGTAAGCCAATTATTAAAGTTTAGTGACTTAAAAATTAAAGAAAAACTTGTATAAAACTTCAAAAATGATTTTTATTAATAAATTTAATTCTGGCTATAATTAATCTACACTATTTCAAACGTGTAAATCCCACTCAAACTGTCTATATAAATTAACAGATAATTTAAAATGTAAATTAACCATATAATAATAAAAACTTGTAAAATATAATAATAAAATATAAAAATAAACAATTATAGTTGATTTTTATGTTTAGACAGAAAATTATTATTTTAGAAATAAAAATAAAAATATACATATTATGATATAAATTTTGTATTATTATTTCCACTGTATATTAAAGTATGATATTAAGCTATACTATACAATACTACACAATGTTAACTATATACCTATATATTTTAATTATATAATTATTATTGAGAAGTGATGTGATCACTGTAATAATATGCCCTCTTTAAACAAAATCTACAAATGGAAACAATACATCTTCGACAAAATTATATTATTTCTTATATTTTAAAGCTATGATAAATCCTTACATTGAGTATTTGACAATAAAGGTGCAGTATTCATGTGGACATTTTTAGTCTACAACACTCTCCAACCACAACCAGTTGAATATTAAAAAATTAATAGCTTATTGACTTCCATCTTTTCAAAAAAGTTGAGTACGCCACTGTTAATGGCTGTCAGTATTAGTCGATTATGAAATATTTTATTACTGCCTTTTTATTTACTGATATTGAGTAGAATTTACGTACATGTTTCAAAATCAACTATAAAGTGTCATAAATAGAATTTACTCTTATAAATATAGATAAACAAGACTCCATTGTTTTTTTTTTTTTTTTTTTTTAGATAAACTATTTTTGTTATTCAGTTATCATTTAGTAAAAATTAAAGAGGAAGTGATTTTCATAACCCATATTCATTCATGATATTTACATAGTCTTTATGCTTTAAGAATGAAATTACTATAAAAATAATTGGTACCTATGAAGTAATATAAGAAAATAATTATCTATCTTAGTATAAGGTCATAATTTTTTATCTTACTAATTTTAATAATACTAAAATATAGGTACTTAATTTGTTATTTTTATATTTTTGTAACGTTATTTTTTATAATTTTATTGTTACTAGTTTTGATATTTTAATGGTTTGTTTTAATATAAGTTTCTATTTGTATTACTTGTTATTTGTTCATAATGAAATATAATATTCATATGAGTTAAATAATATATATTTGTAATACCATGATTCGAATCAATATTTTAATTACTCGATATTATCAGACTGAGTTTACAATTGAAAGTTACGTTACTTCTAATTGTCAAATCTAGTTTCAAAGAAAAAGATAATAATTATCTCAATAATCAATTATTGATTTTAAATTTGTCTAGAAAAGGTACGTTCGAAATTATATTGTCTAATATTCTATCCTAGATTCACAATCACTAACAATATTATACTAATTGAACAAAAATTTATGGCATCCTAATAAGTTTAAAAAAAATATTCTCTTAAAATATATAATATATAAATTATTGATACAAAAAAAAAAAAATTATATATAATTTATAAAGAGATATAATTTTTAATATTTATTTAGGTATTGCGCGTAATATTTTTTATTAGCTCCACTCTTGACATCTAAGATCATAGAGTCCAGCCACTAAACCTCATTCAACCCCTAAATTTATAAATCAATCAATGCGTCTGTTATAGTCGATTAATTAAAATAAGTTGATTTGTTTGTTTGATTAATTTTAGTATTTATCTAACGTTTACATTGTGATTGATGTGAGACAATTGTTATTTTGAATAAATGTTGAAATGCTTTTCATTTTTGAAAACAGTAATCATTATAGGATACTATTTTATATTAAAACTATATAGTAATTAACTTATATTATAATTGTATACTAAATAACTATAAAATTATTTATTTAATGGGACAATGGATATATTTTTTTTTTTACATGAATATAAAATTTAAGTTAATTTATCTGACAATTCTTAGTATACTTCAAAAAAAAAATCAAAGAACTTTTGTCACCATTTACGATTTTATTTTTCAAATAATTAGTGTTACCTAATTTAATATAGTATGTATAAAATATACTATACGACTTAATTGTTATAACTAAAAACTTATTTTTTTTTTTTTAACGTGATAAATACTGGAAATTCAATTATTTTATCAATAACACACTTTTTTAATTCAAAGGAAATCACTACTGTTATAGATTATTACATTATTATATAGTTATATAATATTATACATACAAAGGTTTTGTATTAATGTATATTAATCCATACCAAGTTCCAACTAAATCCCCACTAAGTATAAACAGTTTACAGTTCACATTACCATTTTATCATGCTCGTATCTACAGAAATAACTGGTACAATATCTAAGTCATATTTACTAATTGTATTCAAATTATAATACGTATCTACCTATAATATATTTTATTAATACCTTAATAACTAAACAAATTTTATATTATCTTTAAATCAATGGTTAATTCTTTCTGTTTGGGTATGTATATATATATATATTATATGATACGGGTTTTAAACATTTTATTTTATAGCAAACATCGTATAAATTGTAAAATGTTTTTATTTGTACGTATTGAAATATTCAACAAATTCACAGATTATGATAATAGTCAAATAATTCTTAATATTATTATGTATTATAATATTCTTTAAAATCTCAGTTTATTGAAAATCTCACGTTTTACAATAAAACTGCGTGTAATATTAACTATACAACATTGCTACTTAAATATAATATTGTTTTGTCTCATTAATCAAATTTATATGGTCGAATAATCCTAAATATTCTGTTATTGAAATTATATTTATGGTATTTTTCAAAATTCAACAACACTTTATTCGGGCAAAGAATTTATTACTCATTGTATTCATTAAATCAATATAAGGGATAATTATTGATGTTGAAGAATATTACTTAAGTGTGTGTTAATTTGTGAAAATTCATTATAATTTTAAAATATTCTAGATTAAAATATACATAAAATATTTTGAAAATTTAAAAAGTTTGCTATGTGATTTTAAATGGAGTAAATGAGTGAACAATATTTGTAGTAAATATAACACGCATTTAAAAACAAATTTGAAAACACATGCTTATATTTAAAATTCTAATTTATTGATACTCGGAATTAATACATACGAATAAATGCATATTTTATGTAATAACTAGTATATAATTAAATATATATTTAAATATAATATTTACTGTAAATAATTCAAAAGAAAATATTTATTTTATTATTAGATATTATAATTAAAAATACCATAACTTAATACGCTAATTCAAATTCAATCATAGATTTTTATATTTTTATATTGGATTAATCCAATATCCATATTAAACTCCATTTAATTTTTCCAATATTTCATATCTAATAAATAATATACACACAATTTTACAATTCAAATTATACTTTATTTATTTTTAATTGACATTTAGTTACAGTACGTAAAAACAAATACTTATTATGTGAAATATAAATTGTCAATCAACGTCTATCCAGGAGTTACCTTCTTATAAATATATACAATTTTATTGTAACAATATATTTAATCAAATTTACGAGAGTATCTATAAATTGACAGTACAGTTTTGGTAACTTCTGGACGGGTTATAATTAACAGATAGTATAAAATAATGATTATAATAAAAACAATTCCATCGAAATTTGATTGGAACAATTACAATCGTTGTGTAATGAAATAGAATATACGCTTAAAATGAATTTTAATGTCAATTATTCAATTATATATTGTATATTTTTATCTATTTAGAACATTTATTATTGAAAAAAAATATAATATTAAATAAGAAATTGTCCTTATAATTTGAACTATATTCAATAAAATTAGCTTAAACTAAAACTAAAATTATCTGAGCGTTTGTGGTATTGATTTCAAATTTGTATAACACAATGTAATTGTCAATTGATTTTTTGTTTAGTTCAATATGAAAATTCATATTATAATTGTACGTAGTAGTAATTGTTCTAGATTATATACTCAAATAAAAAAATTAAAATGTTAATTTTATCCTGTTGATATTTTATTTTTATTTTTTTAGTCTTTAAAGTATTTTTATTGATTATTTCCAGTATTATTCATCTTTAGTTTTCCTTCTTACAACTTTTATCTTTCTTCCAAATTCTTGTTGGTCATAAATTGGGGCATTTGGGTAATTCTTTCTGCTTGGACTTTTAATTACAACGGATGGATTTAATTGACTTTGTTTTACTACTTGATCAAAACTTCCTCTAATGGTTGCAGTTTGTGACTCACTTTGTTCGCAGTATGAACATTTATATGGTACTTGATAAGCCGACGGGAAAACAGGATTTAATTTTGATGAAACCACTTCTTTTGATACTGTAGTTCCTGTACCACATGATGGATAAAATACTACCGGTACGAATCCAATCACAGCACCCTCCGGGAGATTATTTAAGTCCAATGTTGGTTGTTGTGGTAATTGATTGGTAGAATTATTTGTAGGTGGAACAAAATAACATGGACAAGATCCTGGGTTTGGAACAATTGGCAAGGGATAAGGAATTATATTGACAGGTGTCGAAGAATCTGGTGAAAGAGTAGTAAATTGTTCTTCATAGGACACAGTACTAGTTGAGACCACTAAATTATTATTTTCAGGTGTCAATGCTGTTTTAGTAGATATACTATACAACGGAGTACTAGTTTCTGGTTTGCTTGATGATGAGATAACCTGATTCGATTTTTGACCAAATTGATATGGTAATTTTGGTCCCTTTGTAGGGCTGTTCACGTATTGTGGATTAAGTGAGCTGGAATGTCCTGATGATCCTGACGATGGCCCTATTAATTCATTATTGCCCAAAGTCACAGCTTTTTGGCCTTCGTTAGAATCAGGTTTATTCGGAACATTTATGCGAATATCTATCAAACTAGGTTTACTTGTATATTCTGGGGAAGTTTGACTAGACTTACTCTTAGAACCTGATGTTTGAGTTGAAACAGGCGTTGTTACTTGAGGTTTTTTATTTTCTGTTGCTGGATATGTAAACTGTTGTTCAGGGTAGCCATAAACGTTTCCATTGAAAGGGTATTGTTCACTAGCTACTGATGGGTATGCATTAAAGTCTAGTTGACCAGAGTATATTTGGTTTTGACCAGGATACAATTCATAAAAACCAGGGTAACCAGATGGTTCATTAGATTGTGGATAATTAGGGAGCGGTGCATTAGAAGGAGGGGGAACTGGATATCCAGAACTTAAATACTCGGGATACACGTTTGGTTGCTGTGAACCATAGCCAGGAACATTTGGTTTTTGAGGATAGCTGGTAGGATAAACATAATTTTGTTCCGTGTATGATGGATAACCATTGGATGGTAAACCTTAAAAAAAAAAGTTAAATTATTATAAATTAAAAAATGTTAAGTTATTTAAATATTTACTTGATACACTCCCACTGCCTGAGTTTATGGGATATTGACTGGGTTTTGATGAAGTCGGATAAGAAGCAGGAATTCCTGGGGTTCCTGGGGTTCCTGGAGTGCCTGGTTGACCAGGAAGGCCTGGTTGCCCTTAAATAAGACCAAAATTATGTTACACAAAGACAAAAATCACAAATATTCCACAACTAAGACTTCAACAAAATGTACTAATGATTAAATATTTGAATTAGTTATTTTTTCAACCATTGAACAGTTTTTGGTATTTAATATCCAAAAGCAAAGTTTTACGACATCATCTACATTAAAATTTTAAATTGATTTATTTATTTATTTTTATTTTTCTAAAAAAACTTAAAAACGTGTTTTTATACTTAATCTTGATAACCAAAATGTTAAAAAAAGGCTTAGATTTAATATTTTACCTGCAGATCCGGGATATCCTGTTGATAGATTAGGTTTCCCATAGTCAACCAACACTTGAGGACTTTGTCCAAACGATTGAGCTGGTATGCCTGGGAGGCCAGGAGTTCCTGGTTGTCCTAAATTAAGTATTATAAGTAAGTAAATTTATATTTAAATCAATAAAATACTCTAATTAAAAAAAAAAAAAAAAAAAATGATAGAATAAAATTAAGTATAACAATATATAATTATATTTAATATATTATAGACGGTTATATTAACGACAACAAATAAGAAACTAAACTATATTTAAATATATAGATTAAAAATTAAGTATAAATATACCTGGTGCACCAGGTGAACCTGGGTATCCAGCGGCAGGTGAAGGTTTTTGGTAGAATGGTCCTGCTGGAAGTCCTGGTGTGCCAGGAGTACCAGGGGTACCTGGTTTTCCTGGTTGACCTGAGGTATAAATCACAATTATGAAAAAATACATAGCTTAAATACAATAAAAAATTTAATATTAACTCGAACCGTTAATCATCACAATAGATTAATTTCATTTTTAGATATTATTTACTTATTTAGGATTAAATTTCAAAAAATTTACTTTTAATTGTATTTACCTGAGCTTCCGGGATTACCAGAATAAGATGGTTTTGAAGGATATGTGGGTTGAACTGGATATGTTGTTGGGGGAATTGGTTTTTGATACGATGGTAAACCTGGGGTTCCTGGTTGACCTAAAATTATATTTTACACATAATGAATAATTGTATCATATATGAATAAGAAAATAATAATAATATGTGCTAAAACTTTTACTTTACAAAGAATTAAAAAAAATTAATGTTTTTCTTTTTTAAAAAATAGTTTAAATATTTACAATATCTATGTTGAGTAATTTTCAAAAATTAATAACATAAGGAGTATTTTTTTAAACAAATAGTGTTTTAAAATCTGTTTTAAATTTATATAACTCAAAATATACTTCAAATTTTAAAGTCGATAGCTGAAACATAAATATTATGTTATTATAAGATCGATTAGAGTTCATCCGAAATGTTTTATGAAAACATAATTTGTTAATACAACTTTTAGTGGAAGTACTTTTTATCAATAATACATATATATAATATATATATATATATATATATATATATTTGAATAAGGTATTTAAAATAAAACATTAAAATTAATAATATTAAATAAATCACTAAAATAAAAATTTAAAAATATTTTTATTGATTAAAATTGTTTTTAAAAATATAATAATAGCAATAATGTTCATGTAAAATAATACATTTTAAATTAATTTAGTATATTTCTTTTCTTAATCATATAATTTAAGATAATTTAAAAAAAAAAAATCAAATGTTTTTAGGTAATTATACAATATAGAATTACAGTTAGGACAATTATATATATAATCATGGATTATCATTGGTTGGGAGGGGGATAAGTGCTACTTCTTATCCCCTAGAAAAATAATTTTAACTTTTTATTTAATAAATATTACCATTGTATTATTACCTAATGCATTAAGTATCAAAATAAATAAATGTGCATTCTTATTTACCGATATCAAATTATACATTTGATTATGTTTTATACTTATTAAAATGTATTTATTTTATCAATGACATATAATTATAGCATATATTTTATATTTATTATTAAAATAACATTACACCTAATACTATTACATTCATTACAAAATATGAGTTTTTTCTTCTTTTGTTTCTCCTATAAAATGTTATCAACTTGCGCGCATGCATTTGTACTTATATAACACTACCATGCGATTATGTGTCACTATTTTATATATGTACTATGATAATTATTTATTGAATGCATAAATTAAAATTAAGATTTCAAAACAAACCAAAATATGTATTATTTGATAAATTGTATTTTTAATAAATTATGGAGTCGTCTAATAAAACTTTTTTCGAACTGTCCCAATACCATTATTATAGAATTATGTTTCAGGGAAAAGTTTTAAGTTATAACTTATAAACAATTTATTTGTAATTCAATTAATTTTATTTTATTTTTTTTCTTTTTAACTGTAAATTCGTATAAGAAATATTATAATATTATTCACCTGGTAATCCTGGAGTGCCTGGTTGTCCTAGAACATAACAAAATATGAAAGATATATGATTATTTAATTTTCATTATTTATGTTAATTGTTTTTTGATTAAAGTTATAACTTTTCAAATATTTTTACCTGGACTTCCTGGATAACCCTGCGAGCTTGGTTTAACAGATTGATAATTAGGTTTTTGATTTAATGTAGAACCTGGATAAGCTGAGCCTGGTGTTCCAGGTGTACCGGGTTGACCTTAATTTAAAAAATATATTTTTTTTATTTTAACAATTTTATTATTATTAATTAATGTAAGTTAGTTAATTTTATTTGTTCAAAATGTAAAATAATACTTTCTATACTTTAAATTAATAATATTCACCTGGTAATCCTGGCGTTCCGGGTAGTCCTAAAACATTGACATTATATTATTATATTAAAACAAAATTATTTTTTTTTAATTTTATGTATATTTTTAAAATTAATTATATTGATTTAAATTGTTACCTTGACTTCCGGGATAAGAAGATCCTGGATATTGGTTATTGGAAATCGGTTTTTGATATGAGGGTTGGTATACAGACCCAGGTAGACCTGGTGTTCCTGGTTGACCTATGAAAACAATAGTTTTATTTTAATGAAAAAAAAAAAGTTTGAAAAGAATAAAAATTAAATCTGATATGATAATTGAATTATTATTTTTAATTGTTAACTAATATGTAGCAAATCATCAGAGTCAACAAAAATCGATGTTAATTTATTGAAATAATTACTATGATATAACATATTTATTGGGTTAAAAAAATATATACTATATTTTATTATTATACAATTATAATATTATATAATAATATCAATATTGTAATCGAAGAGATTTATAAACTACTTTTTTTTTTATATTAGAATTTCATGAATAAACCTAAGATGTTCTTTTTCATTATATAATAATATTTTAAATAAACTTACCTGGAAGTCCTGGGGATCCCGGGGTTCCTGGTTTACCTAGAAAATATTTTTAAATAAGTAAATAAATAAACCAAAATATAATAATATTATGTTAATGGTTACATAACTATTTACTATTTATTTTGAATTATTTTTATTAAATTTCATGTTAATTTAATTCGATACTTTATATTAATTAAAATATAAGAACGTTAAATTTAGTTCATAATTATATCTATTTGAAATATTTAAATTATTATCTGATTGTTTGTAAATTATATTTAAAAATAATAAATTAGTATATTTAAATATTATATTAGAATTAAGTAAAACTAAATTAAAAATAATAAATACAGCTATTTTATACATTATTCGGATTTTACATCAATGTGGTATTGTATATTAGTATAATATAAGTAACATTACTTATATTACATGTATTACATATTGATAATTAATACAAGTGACAACCTGCACTTCATGAAGAAATTAAGAATAACAATAAAAGTCAAACACATCTTTACAGGCTGACTATTATATGAAAAAGCAAGACTAAAGTATAAAATTCACTCTAACCTATATGAATCCTGTTAACTAGATACATCAAATCAAATTTAATAATTAAAACTAAGAAATTAACTTAATTTTAAATATATAATTAAATGTTTTATAAAAGAAATGTTGAAACTATGAGCCTTAGATGTTTAAGTTATAATATGTGATAAAAAAAAAAACAGAAAATAAAAAAATAAAAATGATATAAGTATAGTTTGGCCTATAAAAGGTTATAATATGAATGCTAAATCTGAAAGTATAATAAACATTTGAAAATATGTAGTTAAATATTCGTTAAAATAATATTTACTATTTAAATTTGGTTATTTATTACTTATATATATATATACTTATTTTTATTTATGCTTTTACTATATTACCTGGTCCTACGGGATAAACTGATGGTGGTGTTGGTTTTGGGTATGGAGTTGTACCTGGTAATCCTGGAGCTCCTGGTAAACCTGGAGTACCTGGTTGGCCTGAAAATATAAAAAAATTTATTAGAATACAAATATCAATAAGCTATCGCCATATTTTTACAAAAAGTAAACATTTTATTCCAATAAAATACTTTATATAATACAATTTAAAAAAATAAAAATAAAATATGTTGAAAATTACCTGGACTTCCGGGGTATCCTGCATTTGGTTTTTGATAAGTTGGTTTTGATTGTTCATACGGTGGTATGACTGATGCACCTGGTTTACCTTTATATTTTTTATGAGAAAAATAAATAATACAAATCCATAAGCTTTTGTTCGTTGTAAATATAATTTTGTGTAAATAAAAATTTAGTTTATTTCAAATAAACATTTACCTGGTAATCCTGGAGATCCTGGTAAACCTAGTGAAAAAAAAAATAAAATGGATTATATTAAATTAATATATTGATACATGATTTATAAGTAAACAGTACAGAATACTTTTAGTTATAATATTAAATATAAAAATAAAATAATTTTAAAATTTTAAAGAATATTAATTTATTATTATTATTTTATACCTGGGGTACCTGGATAAGCTGATGCTGGGTATGGAGATTGTGAAACGTAAGATCCTGGTTTTCCTTTAACACAATTATGTAAAATTAGAAATATGTAATTAATTTTAATTTATCATAATAATTTGGTTTATAATTAAAAAATTAAATCATATGTATGTTATTATGTATTCATTTATACGTATATAATATCATATAGGTAATCATAAAATAAATCATTTTAATCTAAATAACACTAAAATATTATACTATTATAGCTTAAATTTTTTTAAAGAATTATATTTATGAATATATTAAATATTATTTAATATTGTATGGTCATTATTAATTAAATGTCTAATAAACATTATATATTCTAAATATATAATTATACAATTTGCTAATAAAATATAAGATTTTACGTTTTAAAAACTCTAAATCATTTTTAAATTATAATTTATCTATAAACGCTGAGAGTTTAAAAATTTAAAAATTATTCAATTCTAAATAACAACTAATGGATATATTGAATAATATATTTAATTTACCTGGTAGACCTGGAGAACCTGGAGAACCTGGAGAACCTGGGGATCCTGGAGATCCGGGAGACCCTGAAATTAGTATAAATAAAGTATTTTATTAGATAAATAAAAGAGTACCTTATAATTTTTAAGTAAAAATTATTTTTATTTTGCTTATTACCTGGAGCTACAGGGTATGAAGGTTTGATGTATGAACCTGGTAATCCTGGAGTTCCTGGTTGCCCTACACAATTAAAAACTAATAAGCTATATACATATAAAAAATTATTGAACTTAGAATTAAATCATGATATTTGTTATTATAAACAAACAAACTCATTAATGAATTAATATTTATTTTTAGTATGTCTAAACAAACATATTATGAAAAATAATTAATGAAAATAATTGTTCATACCTGGTGATCCTGGGTATCCGGGAGTGCCTGGTGATCCCGGGGCGCCTAGTAAAAATATAAAAATACGTTTTTAAGATTCAATATTATTAATTTAATAAAACCTATTAAAGTACCTGGCCCACTAGGGTAATATGTTCCTGGGTATGTTGTTGGTTTCTGGTAAGAACCGGGAAGGCCTGGTGCTCCTGAATTAATAATTAAACATTATTATATTTTCTAAATTACATTTTAATATACTTTTTTTAACTATTTATACTAATATTTATTTGTTTTTAAATATTAATGAGTATTTATTTTTTTTTAATTGATTTTTGCTAAAATGTATTAAATTTATACCTGGCAATCCTGGTGATCCTGGTAATCCAGGTGACCCTAAATTAAATTTTATAAATAGTTAGTTTTAATTATAAATATTTATTGTTTTAAATTTACCTGATGCACTAGGATAGGACGAAGGGGGGTAAGGTAATGTTTGTTGATATGATGGATAGCTTGGAGAGCCTGGTTTACCTACAAAATAGAAGTTGAAAATATAATGTATTTAGTGTTTATTTATATTTATAATCTATAAGCTAAAATTATTTATCCAAACAACAAAAGTAGTTTTCTAAATATTTTCTAAATGGCTAAAATTGAATATTCACCTGGTAATCCTGGAGTTCCGGGTAATCCTGGAGTTCCGGGTAATCCTGGAGAACTGGGAGAACCTATAAATATTACATAACAAAAAAAACATAATTTCAGCTTAATAATATAGTGTTTTTATGAATAATAAAACAGTGTAACTTTCTAGTTATTTTGAGAATTTAATTCTATACATTTCACTTATCAATTTTTATACAAATCACAATCAAATGAAAATTTTGTAAGTATATTAAAAGTTAAAATTGTCAGTATTCTATTTTATAAAATATCATAGTTCATAATACTCAAATATGTTTTTCATATTAAATGTTTTTAATAGTTTTTAAATAAAATATCCAATCAATCATAATAACCTAAGTTTCCTGGATAAGTGGATGTTGGATAAACTGTTGGTTTTGGGTAATTAGGTAATCCTGGACTACCTAGAGCACCTGGGGAACCTGATGGTCCTTGTAATCCTGGGTAATAATACAATGTATTTTATTGCATAACATTTAAAATAAAATGAATACAATTATTTACATGACTAATATATTATAATAAAAATTCAATGTATTGTTTTAAACAAGTTCTTGAAATACATACATGTTTTTTTATAGACAATTAACAACCCAGAGAGAAAAAAAACCATCGGTAACCAAGGTTTTACGATTAACGTCGGTACTGTTACTTTAATACATTCAAAATAATCTCCCACCTCCAGCAATATAGTTTAGTATTATCGAAACATTTACTGTAATAATTATAAAAATAATATTATCTCTCAGATGTATGTAGAAATTATAAGCATTTAGTAGAATCAATCTTATGTCATTAGAGTTAAAATTTAAGCAAATAAATATATTATTATATTTAATTTTAAGAATATTATCTATAAAAGTATGGTGATTTTTACAAAACATAAATTTGTATGCAAGTTTTGTCCTTACAAAATATTACACTTAATAATTTTCATTTTCGTTTTAAAATACTAAAGCTAGGAACATACAGTAAGATCTACGAACACTCATTTCTTATTATTCATGTAAGTCAAAGAGAGAAAATAAATAATGTCCTAATATACTCTTAAGTATAATAATTTAAATGTAATATTAATATTAAGCACATGACGTAATATATTTATACCTGGATAACTCGGATAAACTGTAGATGGACTTCCTGAACCTGGTTTACCTAAAAATAAATTACATTTATAAATATTTAAGAACTTTAATATTTTTCACTCATCTTATGCTTAAATATCAGATATAAAACTATATAAAAATCATTAGTATAATCAATAAAAATAAATTTAAAAATAGTTAAATAAATCATATTTCAGTGGTTAGAATTTTTAATTTAGATCCAAATTAAGTAATATAAATGTAATTTAATTAAATAAAATTGTGTACAACAATACCTATATGCATATGATTATTATACTCTAGATACATTATTATTATATCGAGTTTAGAATAGTTATATAGTTTAGTATGTAAAAATAATATAGGTTTTAATAATAGTTTTTTATTATAACAATATCTGAAATAATGAAAACTACTGTTTAAAGACGAGGTAAGGAGTCAAATATCCAAAGCATCTACCATTTTTCGTAGAAACAACCTATTTAAAAAAAAAATAAAAAAAAAAATATCAAAAGTATTACCTGGTAATCCAGGAGTTCCTGGTAATCCTGGAGATCCGGGTTTTCCGGGTGTACCAGGAGTTCCTGATGATGCTGGATAACCACTTGGGTAGCCTATTAATACAGAAGAACCTGGAGATCCAGGTATGCCCGGAGCTCCTGGAGAGCCCGGAGATCCATGTGAGCCTGGGTAGCCAAATGATTCTGGGTAGCCAAATGATCCTGGAGATCCTGGTGATCCTGGAGATCCTGGTGAACCCGGCAATCCTGGGGATCCAGGAGATCCTGACGCTGGGTAACCAAGTGATCCTGGGTATCCGGGTGATCCAGAAGATCCTGGGATTCCTGGAGATCCTGGGGAACCTGGTAATCCTGGTGAGCCTGATGCTCCGTGTGAGCCTGGAGACCCTGATCCTGGGTATCCAGGTGAACCTGGTGATCCTGGTGAGCCCGGTGTTCCTGGTGTGCCTGGTGCTCCTGGTGAGCCTGATCCCGGGTATCCAGGTGAGCCCGGTGCTCCTGGTAAGCCTGATCCTGGATAACCAAGTGATCCCGGGTATCCAGGTGAACCTGGTGATCCTGGTGAGCCTGGTGCTCCTGGTGAGCCTGGGGCCCCTGGTGATGCTGGAGATCCGGATCCTGGGTATCCAAGTGGTCCAGGGTATCCAGGTGAACCTGGTGATCCTGGTGAGCCCGGTGAGCCTGATCCTGGGTAACCAAGTGATCCTGGGTATCCAGGTGAACCTGGTGTTCCTGGTGAGCCCGGTGCTCCTGGTGAGCCTGGGGCTCCTGGTGATCCTGGAGATCCTGATCCTGGGTATCCAAGTGATCCAGGGTATCCAGGTGAACCTGGTGATCCCGGTGAGCCCGGTGAGCCTGATCCTGGGTAACCAAGTGACCCCGGGTATCCAGGTGAACCTGGTGATCCTGGTGAGCCCGGTGCTCCTGGTGAGCCCGGTGCTCCTGGTGAGCCTGGAGATCCATCAGTTCCAGGATATCCCAAAGAACCAGGGGATCCTGGTTTACCTAATGATCCTGGTGATCCTGGCGAACCCGGAGATCCACCAGATCCAGGATATCCCAATGAACCAGGAGATCCTGGTGATCCTGGAGAACCGGGAGATCCTGGTGAGCCTGGAGATCCAGGTGACCCTGGTTTTCCTGGGTATCCAAATGAACCAGGGTATCCTGGAGTACCCGCAGATCCTGGTGATCCTGGAGGTCCGGCTGATCCTTAAATTTATAAATTTTAATTTATTTTAATTTTATATATTGATATATGAATCCAGAAAAATATTTATGTACCTATTTTTATAATTATATGTTTGTATTTTATATGATTATAAAAAAACAGAAGTGCATTATTATATGAATGGTTTTTAATTTTAAAATTTTAATTAATTGCTACTTTTATTTGTTTAATCGATATATATTTTAAAAAAAATGTCTACTATTTCCATTTTAGTTTAAATATTTAAATATATTTTATGTAATTATCAAATTATAAAATGGGCTTTTATAGTTATATATACATTTATTAATTTGTTTAGTAATAATTTCATACCAGGTGTACCTATTGGTCCTGGTTGACCAGTTCCAACAAAGCTGGGGTATCCTGATGAACCAGATCCACCTAATTGACCAGTTCCTTGAATTGGTCGACCTCCTCCACATCCTTTCGGAAAATAAAGATCACCCCATGCTGTTACCACTCCATGGTGTCCATGATGTTCATGTTCTGAACCACCTTCAGAACTTTCATTAGTTTGATTTTCATCAGCAGGATCATGTTTATGATGGAAAATTTCAACTGATTCACCCGGTGTGACTACTCTGTACCCCCAACCATCAGATATATAATGAGTTGCTTGTAATTTTCCTTCTGGATCTACATATCCGTAGCAACCATATGTGAATCCATCCGGTCCTTTATTTTCATGGTGAAATTGACCATTTGGACCTACTTCGTATCCGAATATATAGGCCACTATAAAATAAAAATAAATTTATTATAAAATATATTATAATAATATACATTATAAAATACTTACTGGTATCAAAATTTTGCTCATGGTATTGAGTCTTATTGCTATCTTCAATGTTAAGAACCACTTCCAAATCATTGGGATTGATTTGCTGAGAAAAGACAAACTGAATCCCCACAATTGCGAACGCCAATATTAAATACATCTAAAATAAAACATTTTTTTTTTTCATTTAAGTTCAGTTTAATGAGATCATAAACAATTATTAACAAGATAAACGTATTTCATTGTTATTCAGTTTAATAATCTAATTGATTATTAAATTATCTCTTAAAGTTGTAAGTTTCAAATTAATTTAAATTATGATATTTGTATGACTTTATAAAGTAGAACATAGTTAGCTCTAAGTAGTTATAAAAAATAAGCCATTTCTGAACAACATACAAACAGTTTTTGGGATCTTGATTCGTTTAAGATATTGTATTACAACACCTAACTTTATTTTATATGCATTAATACTAGTACAACATATATTACAAATAAATGTTAAATATTTGTAATATTATTAAGAAAACTTTAGTTTATTAATTTTGTATATTAAATTAATGGTCTTAAATTAATTAATTAATTATATTTTTATTAGAAAATCACAACAAAAATGTATGTTTTGAAAAAATTAATAATAATAAAAATACATTTTTTTTTTTTAAATATTAATTTATTATAATCTTAAAATTAAATAGCAATATTGTAGTGGCACAGGCCATGAAATTTAGATTTTCCATGTTTGCGAATATTAAGTAAAGTATTCTACTCTTCTGTTAAATAACTTTTTTAATTGTTTATTAAATAGATGATCTTAATTCAATTGTCTTTTAAATATATATATATATGCAAATATTTGTCTATTTAAAACATTAAATCTATTACTTAACTAAATTATTATTATTATTCAACTGATTTTATCATATTATAATATTTATATGTTTATATAAATAAATTATTTTAATAACTCAGCTACGTATACCAGCGCAGATGTTTTGATTTTATTCAACGGCTGACGGTGCCTAGGAAATATAGTTATTTTATTATCTTTACAATTTTGCCAATGAACGTTAAACTGTTTTTTTTTTTTTTTTTGTCGCGATTCCAACAAAATGTAACCGTAGTTGTTCTTCAATACAAGACGGAATTTTAAAAATTATAATCGTGTTGGCATTTTTGTCCTACATTTATTCACTGTGAGAACCTACTGGTCGAATTCATCACACGAGCTAGAGCACTCGTAATCACCACTTAGAAATTCAACTCAGACTAGCGCATTCGCATGGTGAATTACCTACCTTTTTTTTTTTATTGAATCACTGTATAGGTACTCTCGGTGTTCTGTTACTTATTGCAGGATATGCGTATTAAAATAAAACAGTGTACGGATAATATTAGGATTTATATATTTTTTCTAAAACATAATAATAACGCAATTTTCAGTTGAATAACTAATGTAATACAATTGTTTTTTTATTAAATGTCTTGCCCACTAAAATTAAAGAATATGTAAAATAACTTTAATAATTTAAATTGAAAAATTTTTTAAAACATATAGGTTTAGGTAATAGTATGAATTGTTAAGAGCTATTTACATTGAGAATGTCGTAAATCAATTTACAATTTTAAAATGCAGATATTCAAATTAAAACGCTTATGTGGATCTCTGACTAATAGAGTAACCTTTAAATTTAATAATAGGTCAATTAATTTTAATAATATAAAAATAATAGAGACAAATGCATTATTTTGAATGTACAATTTTAAATGTCATGCGCTCATGCGTTAGTAAGGCGAAAAAATCACACATGGACACTATGCCTTCTTAACAGCACTCCTTTATACACCAATTAAAAATCACAATTTGTAATGTAATAGTTGATACCTATAATACTATTAAAAACCCATAAAAAAAATCTTTTATTTTAAAATTATACCCAATTATAATAAAATATAGTATATATAAGTACCTATTAATGTAATACCATTATTTAATAGAAATAGTACATTCATCACATAATATTCCATTAGCTGTAAGGTTAGTTAATAATTTATTGTATAAAGGTATGCATTACAATTTTTTTAACCAAAAAATAAAATATTTAGTTGGCTAGTAGCTTGAACTAAAACCAATTAACTTAAAAACAGTACTGTAGCTCAATAGATTAATTAATTTTTTAACTTTAAATAATAGGTACGCCATTTATTGAAAATCAGTAACACTAGTTGAATTATTTAAATATAGTTCTTTTTTTTATTTTTTCAAGTTAAATATAATGATAACTACTCATATAATATATATTATTATATATATTTATTCATACATCATAGTTAAAAAAAAAAAAAAAAAACACTTATATATTTGCAATATAATAAGTACACTACAGATTTTCTAAGTAATTAGCATATAGTATATAAATCATATTATTAGTGAATTTAATTTTCAAGTCACTATTTAGATCCATAAAATGGTTTTAGATGTACCTACTGTTCATTGTATAATATAATTTTGACCAATAATCGAATTCTCGATTTTATTCATAGTAATGTATAACGAAAGACCATATATACTCATAATTTATATATTTTGATCTAAAGAATTCATGCCAAAAAGTCAAAATATAAATTTTATGTTACAATAATTAAAAAAAAAAAAAAAAACTATATCCTCCTAATATATCTATATCTATTACCTGTTGTCCTTGAGCTGTCAATTACATATTAATGGCATTCATCGTATTAGTCAAAAATAAGCTTATATTTTTTTGGTAAGCCGTAAGACTAATTTTGGAGAAATTGCTTTTTCTTAATCTCATCTTTATTTTAATTTAACACTGAAGTCGTCTAGTTTTGTATTTATTAGATAGTATATGTGGTACAACAACTTAAACGAAATCTGTTCATCGAATGTATTGCCGAAACTTCGTAGATGTAAGCAAAACTTACATGTATTTTCCATCAATAATGGGCAGCTACTAATAGTTTAATAGTATAAAATATATGTTAATTTTATATATATTTATATATTATGTTAATAGATATATCATTAGGTAACTATAAAATAAACATAACCAAACACGATAATAATCTTTTATAATTCTTGAATTAAAACTGAAATTAAAAAATACTATATATCATTAGCTGTCTAGCCCTTTTAATTTGTTTTTAAAATGTTTAGTTAAAAAAAAAAAATTAAAAAAAAAACAAATCTTAAATTTCTATATTTTATTGATTTATTAAATATTTTGTGTAATAATAAGAGCTTATTGAAGCCTCGTAATCGCTTTTTTGCTTAATCTATGTTTTAATTTTGACCAATTCGAAGTAATATCATAATAATAACTAAGGTTTTTTTTTTACAATAATATTAAAAATATAGTTGAATAAAATAAATATACATAATATAGTCATTTTTTTCTGCACCAGATGATTGCTTAAAAAAATATATTACCAATTTTCTCATTTTTCAAATTTTAGACATAGTTTAGTGATTCAAAATAAATAAACTATAACATTTTTGTATGAAAATTATAAAATTGTAAATAATTATCATAATACGTTGATAACAACCTAAGTAAATTCTTTCTCAATTCCCATGATGTATATAAAAACAACGGTTTTACATAAATCCTGTAACGACAATATAAAGAAAAAATGTATTATATTGATAAAATATTTAACTGTATCAATTAATGAATACCTAATATACAGTTTTAAAACAAAATGATTATTTTTGTTTTACGTGCTTAGGTAATTAAATATGAATAGTAACGGTTTATATACCCAACACGAGTTATGAATTGATGATGAATAATCATGGATATTTTCTGATAATTAATCAAAGTAAGTGCACAGTGAATTTTACAATTATTTTCAGAAACTCTAACACTATGGTTTAAAGTTTACGCACTTCGTTGGCTTAAATGCTTTAGTCTGAAAATATTATTGACACTTATTGTGTCAATTGAATGATTTAGGTGCAAGTGTACAGTAACTCCTATAATAATTAAATTTCAATGTCAATAAAAAAACTTGATTGCCTTAGATAAATTATATTATACATATGAGTAAATACATGATTACAAGATGAAAATATTTTTCTCACATTGAATGTTATATTATTGATACGATTAACTATACAATGCGGTAAACAATAGAGAAAATAAATAAATTATTACTTTATCCTATCCTCGCGGCAGAAATACGAATCGTTTTTCAATCGCAAAGATGGACTAGGGCCACTAGGGGTATAACACAATAATATAATATAATATAATATAATATTAATATCAAGGTGCTCTGGTACGAACGAAACGCCATGAAGTATGGGGTAAGATGTAGTCTAAGCAAAACAGTAGATGCCTTGAAATATCAGTCACTGTCTACTCACTCCCCATAATAAATCGACCGCCATACATTATATTACGTAATAATAATACCGGACTCGTGGGAATTGCCAATTCTAAAACACTTGGGTAACAGTTGCGGCGGTGAGATTCTGTCTGAACCCTTTTCGAGTTCTATCCTCGAATCATCTTATGTGTGCCGCCCGCGAAGGTGCAATACACATTTTTGCAGGACTGAAAATCCAAATCAACCGGAATTCTAAGTTTGTTGTTCAGTGCACACCGCACGTGTCTAATGTGCATGTAACTTTTGTTCACCAACAGATAAGTAACGGAAAATAAACATATGCTAAAACTAGTACAAGTACGTGAACGCGTGGTATTAATGTTTAATGTCCTAATAACTTACAAACGTACGAACCTACGTATATATGATAAAACAATGGAATAATGTGGTTATTTGAGTTGATATTATAACGGTGCATTTACTGATTGTTAATGCAGCTGGGATATAATATTAAAATCCGGCTTTGTCGAATATTTTCTTTGCGTACGTAGGCTTAAAAAACGATGTATTCTAAATACTATTAAATACTATTAAAATTGAGTAAATAGTTCCTAGTCATGATATTATTGGAACTTCAATATTGTATTAATGTGTTCAGTGTACAAGTAAACAATACAGAATGGACAATGCAAAAATTATAAATATGCGTTTATGTAATTTTGTAAACTCGGAACCTAATTTAAAAACATTTATACATGCCCTAAAGATATGTGTATTATTTTAATGAAATACCTATTCAGAAAATGC